GTTAAAGATTTCTATTTCAACTGAGATCAAATGTTTGTCAAGACAAACTTTATGTTGGCTTAAGAAAGTCTAGTCTAAAGTTTGAAGTAGTTTTAAAAGCTCAATGTTTGGAGGTTTTAAGGTCATAAAGTCTGTCAGACAGATGGATAGATTACTTTGTGGCTTCTAGGGTATTCTGGATGGTTGCTAGGGAGTTGCTATGTGGTTGTAGGGTATTCTGGGTGGTTGTTAGGGCTTTGCTATGCAGTTGCTAAGATGTTGTGGGTGGTTGCTAGGGTGTTGCCAGGCAGTTGCCAGGGCATTGCTATGCAGTTGCTAAGATGTTGTGGGTGGTTTGCTGGGCGTTGTTATTGTGGAGGGTATTGTGAATGGCTGGTATGCCATTTCTATGTCAATTTAAGCCAGTTGCTAGGGTGTTCTGGGTGGTTGCTAGGGCGTGGCGATGTGGCAGTTGCTAGTGTGCTTTTTTGGTGGTTGTTAGGATGTTTTGGGAGGATGTTAGGATGTTGCTATGTGGCTGCTAGGCAGTTGGTAGGGTGTTGTGGATGGTTGCTGTGGTGTTGCTATGTGATTGCAAGCCAGTTGCTAGGATGGTCTTGGTGGTTGCTAGGGTATTGCCAGGTAGTTGCTAGGGTGTTGTGGATGGTTACTCGGCAGTTCTTAGGGTGTTGTGGGTGGTTGCTAGGGCGTTGCTATGTGTTTGACAGGGTATTGCTTTGTGATTGCAAGCCAGTTGCTATGATGTTCTTGGTGGTTGCTAGGGTATTGCCAGGCAGTTGATAGGGTGTTGTGGGTGGTTACTAGGCAGTTCTTAGGGTGTTGTGGATGGTTGCTACGTGGTTGACAGGGTGTTCTGGATGGCTGCTATGGCATTGATATGTGATTCCAAACCAATTAATAAGGTGTTCTGGGTGGTTGCTAGGATGTTTTATCATGTTGTTAGCATGTCCTAACCAGAAAGTTTCAGGAATAAATTACATTTTAAAGTATTTTTGAATAGAAAACAGTTTAAATTGTAATAATATTTCACAATATTACTGTATTTTTGACCAAATAAATGCAGGCTTGGAGAGCAGAAGAGACAAATTTTTAAGCTGTAATTTCTTTCAAAAACAGTATTTTGTGTCCACGTTCAGTTCCCTGTCGGTGTTATGAGGTTGTACTCGGCCTGCAGCACCAGGAAACTGTTCTGACGTATTTTGCGCACCTGCACCAGGTCTCCACACTCCTGCACATGGATGATGCCTCTGTCGTCATGGTTACGGTCATTCAGCGACATGGCGGTGAGCTTGTGACACTGCTTCCTCTGCAGGTACCGGAGACCTGCGGCGATGGCCATGCCAAGCGCGGCCGAGAGACCCAGCAGCAAGCCCAGCTCGGATGCACTCCGCCCAGGCACGCGCTCCGGCCTCTCGCCGCCTCTCTCCGGGACTCCAGACGGGTCTTTGGCCTGTTTAGGGGGATTGAGAACATCCCCGAACAGCTCGGAAGGGTCTTTTTTGTGCTGGGTCAGGGAGACGGCGCCCTCTGTGGGCTCCCGGGACGGGAAGTCAGATAGGGCTCGACGGGGAGCCGGGGAGGGTTCGGGATGGAGGGAGGCAGTGAAGAACTGTGTGTTATGAGTGTAGGTGTGTGTTTGTTGCATTGTAGTGTGTCTAGATGCATGTGTGTGAACGCTGTGAGTCTGTAACAGTAGATTTGGGATGGTGTGTGTGTTGTTAGCAGAAGTTTTGTGTGTGTTATCAGGTGTTGGTGTGTTTGTGTTATGGGTTGGGATGCTCTGAAGGGAAGACGTGATTGGGAAAGTTTGTGTAGATGTGTGCCTGTACAAGGATAGAAGTGTTTGAGTGTCATTTTGCATTGGTGTGTTTGTGTTAAAAGATGGGGTTGTGTTTGTGTTATGTGTTGAGTGTGTGTTGGTGTGTGTGTTGTGTGTTGAGTGTGTGTTGTTGTGTGTGTTATGTGTTGAGAGTGTGTTGTTGTGTGTGTTATGTGTTGAGAGCGTGTTGGTGTGTGTGTTATGTGTTGAGAGTGTGTTGGTGTGTGTGTTATGTGTTGAGAGTGTGTTGATGTGTGTGTTATGTGTTGAGTGTGTGTTGGTGTGTGTGTTGTGTGTTGAGCGTGTGTTGGTGTGTGTGTTATGTGTTGAGCGTGTGTTGGTGTGTGTGTTATACGTTGCATATGTGTTAGCATGTGTAGATGTGGTTGTGTGTGTAGACAGGGATGTGTGTTTGCCTGTTTTTTCCAGTAGTGAGGCTGCGCAAAAAAAGAAACACACAAAGCATTGAATATAAACTAAATTTGTACATTTTGTGAGCAAAATATGACTTTTCTTTTACATTTAAGCAAATTTAAGTGGCGTTAAAATGTGCAAAACTCACCACCACAATACTAGTGTTGCTAATATTCTCAGAGTGTTTTGAGGATGTTACTATGCAGTTGCTAGGGTGTTTGGGATTGTTGCTTTGCAGTTTCTAGAATATTCTAGTTGGTTGCCAGGGCATAAATTATTAATAATTTATTGATTCTCCCAAATTCTTTTTAAATTTAAAACTTCCTTTCTAAAAAAAGTCCCCCTGAGATTAAAGTTAATATTTCAATTAATTAATGACACATTTGGATGTTTACAGTTCTCTGATATTGGTTAATGGTCACATTGGCATGCAGGTAAACAAATAAAATATTTCAAAAGTAAAAATTTAAGTCATAAATTAGGTCATAAGTAATCTAAAAGTAATCCCGAAGTAGTCAGAATACATTACCTAAAATGAGTAATCTAAATTACATTACTGACTACAATTTCCGTCATATAATTTGTAATCGTTAATAGACTACAATTTATAAGTATTCTACCCAGCACTGGTTGCTAATGGGTTCCGAGTAGTTTTTAGCATGTTGCTACGTAGTTGCTAGGGTGTTTTGGATTGTTGCTATGCAGAATATAGAATGTTAGTTGGTTGCCGGGGAATTGCTGTGCAGTTGCTAGGTGTTCTGGATAGTTGCTATGGAGTTTATAGAATGTTTTAGTTGGTTGCCATGGCATTACTAGCAGTTGCTACGGTGTTCTGGAATATTACTAGGCAGTTTATAGAATTTTCTAGAACTTCCAGGTGGTTGCCAAGGTATTACAGTGCATTTGCTAACGTGTACTAAGTGGTTTTTATCATGTTGCAATGCAGTTGCTAGGGTGTCCTGGATTATTGCTAGGCAGTTGGTTGCCAAGGCAATGCTTTGTGGTGGCTAATGTGTTTGGAATGGGTTTTAGCACATTGCTATGTGGTTGCTAGGGTATTCTAGATTGTTGGTTGCCAAGGCGTTGCTATGCAGTTGCCAATGTGCTCATGTGAAATGTGATTTCACAATGCCAATGTGAGTGGTCAGATGCTCAAATGTGCTCAAATGCCAATGTGAGTGGTTTTTAACATGTTGCTATGTGCTTGCTATAGGCATTCTGTGTTGTTGTTAACTTGCTACACAGTTCACAGTGTGTTCTAGGTGGTTGCTAAGGTGTTCTGATTGGTTGCTAGGTTTTTTCAAAGCCAAGTCAAAATCAGGTCCATTAATTATTATTGTGTATATAATGTGTGTGTGTGTGTGTGTGTGTGTGCTGGTCATAATCACCTGTCGTGTTCACCGTTGGTTGTCCTGTAACGCTGTCAGTGATCAGAGAACTACGTGTCCCATCATGCACCACTGCCGATCTGATCCGAGACCAGTACACAAAATAGGACTGAACCAGTGTGATGCTGCAGGGAGAAAGGGAATAAAATGGTCATTTTATGTGTTGTCTGCATGTAACAATACATGAACTCTATGCCAGTCTAGACTGGTTTACTGATGGTGTAATAGCACAGTCCTGCTTTTCTACAGCAACCTGTTAATGTTTGTACAGCATAAAGCATATAGCATCTCCTCTGTTCTAGTTAAGCTAGTTGAACTACAGTCACAATGTCGCAGCCATGCCAGTGTTTTTCTTACTAGTGTGTGTGTGTGTGTGTGCTGGTCATAATCACTTGTCGTGTTCACCGTTGGTTGTCCTGTAACGCTGTTAGTGATCGGAGAACTACGTGTCCCATCATGCACCACTGCCGATCTGATCCGAGACCAGTACACAAAATAGGACTGAACCAGTGTGATGCTGCAGGGAGAAAGGGAATAAAATGGTCATTTTATACAAAGACTAAGTTCAACCAGTGAAACTTTATTCTCAGGTGGTCACTACAGACATTTCATCTCTTATCATTGAGATTCTTCAACATCCTCTCCAAAAGCTGCACATCTGCAAAAACACACAAACAAAACACTATAACAAAAACACAATATTATTAAAGTAAACATCATGATTTTATCAATTATTTGCATGCATCATGTGTGTTTGTACCCTGTTCTGTTGCTACTTTATTTAGCCTCTATTTGTTCCTCCTCTTTTATGTCAGTGTCACAATGTTATTGTGAGTAAAGTCAAGTCAAGTCATCTTTATTTGTATAGTGCTTTATACAATACTGATTATGTCAAAGCAGCTGTGAAATAAATACAGTGTCGAAATAAATAAATGCAAGTAATTATTTACTTGTTTGCTTGCTTGCATACCATTTTCTCTTTAAGTTTTGCTCCTGTACTTATAAATAAATAAATACAAGTATTTATTGACTTGTTTGCTTGCTTGCATACCATTTTCTCTTTAAGTTCTGCTGCTCCTGTACTTATAAATAAATACATACATAAATAATTAAATAAATAAATAAATGCAAGCATTTATTTACTTGTTTGCTTGCTTGCGTACCACTTTCTCTTTCAGTTCTGCTCCTGTAGGCTACTAATAAATAAATAAATAAAAGTATTTATTGACTTGTTTGCTTGCTTGCATACCATTTTCTCTTTAAGTTCTGCTGCTCCTGTACGTATAAATAAAAACATACATAAATAATTAAATAAATAAATGCAAGTATTTATTGACTTGTTTGCATGCCACTTTCTCTTTCAGTTCTGCTCCAGTACTTATATAGATGCAGCATGGGGTGTGTAGTTTCACTTTCTTTTCCGCCTACATCTCCCAGCGTTCACTCAGCTCCTTTTATTTTCTCAATCGTGTCCTAATGCCTTCATAAATCTACACATTTACCTGCTTCTCTCTCCGGTGATCGCTTGGAATAAAATATTGCAGCATTGCACGCGCATGTTGCTGGAAGCGCCGCGCCTGACTGTCCAACTTTCCTTTGTGCGAAATAAAAAGCGAGTAAATCCAGTCCCTCAGGATCCTTCACGAGAGACCGGAGTGCAGGGATGGTAAGGAAACCCTGTCTTCAGATATAGTGTGATTTGTATCGTTGGGAGCGGATCATCATGGAGCTCCGGGCGGCATCGGCGGACGCGCAGCAGCAGCTGGCCGGTGACAGGACGCATGAGAGCCGCATGGACGAGTACCTGCGCTCGCTGGGCTTTTACCGCAAAAAGGTCGCCAAGGATGGGTCATGTCTGTTCAGGGCCGTGGCAGAACAGGTCAGACTGATCCTGGTCTTCATAATCCCAAATAAATGTCGTGATTGTAATGTTTAGAAACACAAACACAGGCAACAAATCATGGATATTTAAATGCATCTAAAACTTCCTTATCCGCCTTAGCGTCACATCGTGTGACTCAATTATCTAAAATGTCACACAAAATCACTTGTTGCCCTGTTTTTTACCCCTTGTTATCTAAATGTTACCGTTTGTAACATTATACGCTGTGTCAAAACCACTTTTATAGCTAATTAGCTTTAGCATACTAGCAGCTTATGCTAACATGCACTAATATTTACACAGTTCTCGTTTTTTTTTCGACAGAAAACACTATTTAATCTGTAAACTGTATAAAGTGAATAATATAAACTATTTTCATTAAGTTTCGTTTTCGTTGGGTTTTACTTAATCTCTCATAAGGTGTGATATGAATTGTTGTTATTGTTATTAAAATATTCGTTTTACGAATATTATGCAGGTTCGTAAATTATTTAATGATCATTAATACCTGATCAGATGCCTCGCAATAATGACTAATTTCTTTGTTTTGAGACTATCTTTTTGTCATTCATAATCATATCAAATGATGTGAGATCAATATAATAAATATTCATCATATATTGAGTTATGTAGTTTCAGGAATTTTTGTATACTTATAGGATATAGATAATCTGTTCGATTGACTTTTGGATGTGAATTTGAATTAATATCAATGTTATTTTTATATATATATATATATATATATATATGCATTATTATTTTTAAAATTAATATTATATAAAGGTATTGCTGAATCATCACTCATGAAGTCTGCATTTAAAACTTGAATTTTTTTCAGTTGTTTATGTTTTGATAAACCTGTTTTTCCGGGTTGTGACAGCTGAATGGTGGCGTATAATGCATTGAATGTATCTGACTCAGGCCGACGCCTCATGACATGTTTTATTATGTGTATAAATCGTGCACTATTATTTTTAAAATTAATATTATATAAAGGTATTGCTGAATCATCACTCATGAAGTCTGCATTTAAAACTTGAATTTTTTTCAGTTGTTTATGTTTTGATAAACCTGTTTTTCCGGGTTGTGACAGCTGAATGGTGGCGTATAATGCATTGAATGTATCTGACTCAGGCCGACGCCTCATGACATGTTTTATTATGTGTATAAATCGTTTCATAACACATAAAGTGCACAGACTGAAGCAGGTGTGTGTTTGATTGACAGGTGTTGCACTGTCAGGGTTTACACACACAGGTGCGAGCGACCTGTGTGGATTATCTGAGACGGAACCGATCTACCTATGAGCTGGTGAGACTACATAAAAATGCATTTTGCGTTCATATATATGTTTTCATATTTATACAGTCACGTTGTGAGCATGTCATAAGTGTATTAACGAAGGTTTCTTTGTTTTTGGAAGTTTATTGAAGGCAATTTTGAGAAATACCTGGAGAATTTACAGGACCCTCAGGTAACAAATGGAATAAACAAAACATTGTGCATGCATGCAGATGCTCTCATCCAAAATGCTTTAGCTTGAACACAGATAAACTTCACTTTCTCATTAAAAACATCATTTTCAGTTCTGGCTTGGTTGATTGCACAGACTATTTAGTATTAAAATGTAGACATTTTCTCTTTTTTCCCCTTATATTGCTCTGTCCGTTTAGAGCTGGGTTGGACAGGTGGAGATCACAGCTTTGGCTGAGCTCTATAAGTAAGAATATTACATTTATTTACGTATTTTAACTGCATATTTTGAGGCATGAACTGTGATGACGTTTGCTGTCTTGTCTACCATTATACTTCAATCAGTCGGACAGTGGTTTTTATGGCCGGCCTTCATGAAGTAGCTTCAATAAAAATCATGTTATTGATTTTTGAGAAGCTGTGGCCAGTCGTGCATTATGCTCACTTGAATCAATTCGATCACAAATGGGATTTATTGGCAGAAAAAAAACATCTAATTCGGATTTGTCATGCAGTCAGTTTTCTTGCTCCTATAAATGACGATCCCGAAGGGAAAGTGATTACAATGCAAATTGTGAAGTGCAAAATCCATCATATCATCAACAAGATTATCAAATCATGAATCAAACTCATTTAGAATGCAAGCGTTTTCTGAAATGCCCCTCATGACAATAGCATGACATGCATTACTTTTAATAAAAGACCATTCATCCTATAATGCCTACTGTATCATATTTGATACGCAAAGGCCTCTAAATGATCAACATGATCAAAACTTTGCTGAAAAACACATTGCACACAATCTACTACATGCCTTCTGTCATCTGATTCTGGATTGCATTGCATTATATGTTTGGATCATTTCAATCTCATTTTACTAAAACAGATTATTGGAGATATTGATTGACGACTGATATTGCTCAATTTGGGCCTCTGAATACAACTGAGCTGTTTTTCCTCCATATTCTCATTATATCAGAATATATGAGCCATAAAAGCCTGATGGATCAAATATGATGCAAAATTATTTTTTAATGGTTGCTTCTTGGCCAAAATACAAGTCCATAATCCATAATAACGCTTCCTGCAGTCTCCTGTTGTCCTCTCACATCAAAATCCACCCACATATTTGTTTAGTGCTATTTTGGACTGTTTTGACTTGTAATCTGCGCAGATTTCTCTACTGATTCAGACAAAATAACTTTTTCACTGGAAATAGAAATATTATGGATATTTTAGTGAGAAGTGACATCTTAACGATGGATTCTTACAAACACACAGCTTTTGGCTTCTCAAGTCATTAACTGATGGACTGGAGTGGTGTGGATTATTGTGATGTTTTTATCCGCTCTCATTCTGACGGCACCCGTTCACTGCAGAGCATCCATTGCTGAGCAAGTGATGCAATGCTACATTTCTCCAAATCTGATGAAAAAACAAACTCTACATATTTCATGACCTGAGGGGGAGTACATTTTCAGCAAATGTAAATTTTTGGGTGAACTATTCTACACTCAGAAATATGCACCAAAATGTAATATGTTGGTGTATTTGTTCTTACTAGGTCCAGTGAACCCAGAGAAAAGCCAACCAATGGGATGAACGTCAGACCGCCGCAGAGGGTGGTTTTCTCTCTCTTTTTTACATCTGTTTCTCTTAAAGATTGATATCACTGTGTTTCAATATTTTTGATGATACTCTATATCTGCGCTTTAGGGTCGTGGGAGGGGCCACTCTCGAGGAAGGGGGCGTGACCTCTCCACTAAGGCGCAAAAGTCCCTAAACCCCGCCCTCTACAGGAACGTGGAGTATGACGTGTGGCTCCGTTCTAAACGAAGTACTTCATCTACTTTTTTGTTACTGTTTTGAAATCTAGTTCGTATTTTCTTTGAAAAATATTTTTTAATAACTAATGTGTGTGTATTTAGTTCAGCAGCAGCGGGATTTCTGCATGGCCGCAGGAATGCAGTACTCTGTCGGTGATAAGTGCAAGGTTAGCAGTATGTGCTGACAGCATTCAAAGACTTTTTTGAAAAGTTGCATTTGATTAATACAGGTACACTACCGTTCAAAAATTTTAGATCTTTCAACCACAAACTTTTTTGAACGGTAGTGTATGTTATTATTCATTTTTTATTATATATTGCCACTTTCCATTTCTTTTTTTCATTAATTTGACACTTATGATATTTTACTATATATATTCGTGATTTCATGTTTTTATTTTTAATTGTCTATTTTAATTACTGAATATTTTTGTTCACTTTGAGCTACTGAAAAGTGCTATCCAAATGAAATATATTATCTAAAATAGGAACTGTCTTGATTTTGTTCTCTTCTGGATCTTTCTCAGGTGCAGCTGAATAATCGCTTCTATAATGCTTACGTACAGGAAGTCAGTCCTGACAATGGGCCAGTCACTGTGTTTATTGGGGAACTCAACAAACCGTATGTGTTTTTATGTGTTTGTACATATGTGTAGGTGTTTTCATAGACTCTACTAACTACTATTTTTGAAAAAGTAGTATGTATACTGTGCATAGTATGTGAATTTTCTGTATGCAAGGAACGGCAGTATGACCTAATTCATTTAGCATATTAAAATATGCAGTATGTAATTGCTACTGCATCTAACACTCTTGCTTGTGTGTTTAGAGAAACTGTGCCATTGTTGAGTTTGCGTCTTCCATCTGAAGAGACTCAGTCATGGCAGACGGCAGAAAAGGGCAAAAGACATGGTGCACCAAACAACAGCACACAGACGTCCTCCGGTACGTTCTTGCCAAATTAAAAACACACTTGAATGACATCAACTCGCACATGCTCAGTGTTCGCATCGGATTCTTTATGCAGAATGGGAGAGCAGAGGAAGTCGGAGATCAAACAAAATGCCATCTCAGTCGGCACCCAGCGGTCGTGTGCTTAAGCAACACTCCTGGCCTCCGCAGGCCACCTCAGATGACACAAAAAACAAGTTCAGACGGTCCGATCAGCACAGAAGTCCTGTGTGTGTGCTTCCAGAAGAGGAGAACGCCATTTTGGAGCTTCTGCATAAAGACGAGCACAACTTCCCCTCACTGGGAACAAGCCCCCAAACGGTGAAGCCAATGCAAACACATTTATACTTGAAACACAAAAAGTGCACAAGTACTTAATTTTTGGTAACAAAGATACAAATGCATTTTTACTTTTGAATTCAGGCCACTGCTAGTGAAGTCATAAAGAAAGGAGGGGAAAAGAGAGGTTCCCGGAAGAAGGACCAAAAGGAGCATATCTCAGAGACGGGTGAGTGGTGAAGCTCTGCCCCCTTTATTTCCAGATGCACCAACATGATAGGCCGACGAAGCTCCGGGCTTATGACTGACGTCAACTACCTTGACGTCTGTTTGTGTTTTTTATAATGTATACTTATACATATGCTTCATACATGAACTTAAATCTACAGTAGCATGGACGGACATTTTCAACCAAGTTTAAAAGGAAAAAATCTCTGTAAAACGTAATGCACTGCCTTTACATCGATAATTTAGCTAATGATATTTTCATTCATGTTTAACCATTATCCTAAAGTTTATTTTGTTTTTTGGCTTTCAGAAACACCCCAGAGGCCTGTACAGAGACAGAAGAGCGCCACTGAAGAAAAACATGGGGTAAGTTACACAGAGAACAGCAGACTAGACGGAGTCAGACTTGTCTTTATTTAAACTGTAGACCAAGGATGTCCAATCCTGTACCTGAATGGCCACTGTCCTGAAGAGTTAAGCTCCAACCCTAATTAAACGCACCTGAAGCAGGTAATCAAGGTCTTTAGACTCATTATAAACGTAAGCCTTCTACACGCTACACGATTTTTGCAAAGATCATTGCAAATCACACTGTGCGACATGGATCTGATAAACTCGGGTACGACATGTATGCAGACTGTACGATGATGACGCCTATTGACTCGTAGGCTACGACGCACGTTACTATAGAAGAATAAAATGTCATCAGCATGCCCTAGTGGTAAACAAAAAGAGCATGATGAATCAGTTTGGCAGTTGTCATTTTTATGTGTGCTGAAAAAAAGTGGAAGCGGCGAAAGAGGAGGGGATAAAAGCTTGAGGTAAGTAGTTTTATGTTATAGCGCTTTGTCGCATTGATTTCATGTGGCATTTTTATTGGCTGGTCAGTAAACGTGGGTCGTAGCAGCAAACACACTGTGCGATGATCATGCTGAATTTCTGACACTGTCAGAAAATGATCATAGGCTATCTTTGGTCACAAGACTGAAAACGGCCGTCTTTGAACCTCTCTCACTGTTCGACATAGGACCACTGTTTAGGAGCCATGATCACAGAAATCGCCACGATTGTTTCACGATGACAATCTTTCGTCTGGGACAGCTGAAAATCGTGCAGTGTGTAGAAGACTTTACAGGCAAGTGTGTTGGAGCTAAACCTTGCAGGATGTTGGCCCTTCAGGAGCAGGATTGGACACCCATGCTGTAGATATTATGCCTTTTAGGTTCTGCCAAAACCAAGTACTCTAGAAAGTGTTGTAGTCCTTCACACCTGTGTTTCCCAACCCTGGTCCTGGACTACCCCCAACCCTGGTCCTGGACTACCCCCAACCCTGCACATTTTGTATGTCTCCCTAATCCATCACATCAGATTCAACTCATCACCTCAACAGTAGAGACTTCAAAGCCTGAAATGGTTGTCAGATGAAAAAGACCTCCGAAATGTGTATTTTTAAGGGGTACTGTAGGACCAGGTTTGGGAATCGCTGCTTCTCACCATGTCCACGTGCATGGCAACAAAGCAAGCAATATATCAGGGGTTCTTAACTCTGGCTCTCGAGGTCCACTTTCCTCGAGACAAAGTTTAGCTCCAAACATAATCAAACACACCTGAACCAGCTAATCAAGTTCTTCAGGATTACTAGAAAAATTACAGGCAGGTCAGTTTGATCAAGGTTGGAACTAAACTCTGCGGGAAGGTTTGAGAAAGTTGAGAACCACTGCAATGTATCTAGCCCCTTCCATGTTAATCTAAGTTGTTTTGAACTAACCAGCCACTGGTTTATACTCCATTCTAGATAAAGGTTTCTGAGGAACCAGGGCAGAAATCTTCGTCAACAATAAAAGAGAAAGTACAAGAGAAACCCATCCCTGCCTCTCCTTCTCCACCTCCTGCTGTTATTGTCTCATCTGACCCCCAAAAAGCCCCATCTTCATCTCAGTCTGAATCTGCTAAAGCCCTTGGTCCTAATCAGTCTGCTCCTGAGGCAGTTAAAAAGACCCCTATCCCACCTAAGGCTAGCTCTGCTCGAAGCCCTGACAGCAGTCAGTTTGCTCCGGTGTCCACTTCAGCCCCATCACAGTCCATCTCTGTGGCAGGAGCGGTCTCTGGTACCACCCCTGCCACTATTCAATCTATGCCTGCACCGAAACCTACCCAACCCTCATCACAAACTGTCCCAGTGCCTACCGTAGTTCTGCCCATTCCTGATCTTAATTCCCAGCCCACTCAAACACCATCTCAGATTAGCTCGGTTGCATCTCAAATCACCCCTGTCCAAGTACCTGCTGCTATCCTAACTCAAACTACTCTGGCCCCTTCTGGCTTAGTCCCACGTGCCTCTGTTGAACCAACCCCGTCCATTCAAACCGCCCCACCAGCTTCTATTTCCGCTCCACCATGTATACCAGCCTCTGCAATACCTGTTTCTGCCCTAGCTCAAGTTCCTGCCCCTATGTTAGATGCCCCAGATCCATCTTCTACCACCCTTCCCATTGATGCAAGCAGTGGTCCACCAATTGGCGAAAAAACTGTAGACCCTCATACTACTGTGACACCAATCCCTCTTTCCTATGATCCTCCCACCTCCATCTCTCCTTCCTCTGGTCCTGCCCATGCTCCACCCCCAGACTTGCCTCAGTCCTCATTCAACTCATCAGATCCACGACCCTGTGAAAAAGCCATGCCTGCCTCTGGTAAGTTTTGTATAATGAAGTTCAATTTCGGACGTAGCATTGTTTGAAATGGGTCTTATTTCAGAAGTAAAATTGTTGTAAATATTGACTTTCTAGTAAACGCAGTTGATCAAAGTTCCATGAGAGTTCTCACAGAACTTCTCTTTTCCTTCAGGTGTAGCACCTGCTCCTGAGCTCCCATCCCAACCCCAACAACTCCCCTATCCTCATGTCCAATGGTCTCAGCTCCTTCAGGACCCAGTTTATCCAGGGTTCCCCAAAAACGAGAAGGGAGAGGTGGAACCGCTGCCCCCCTATTCCTTCTCCCAAACAGGAGAAGACCTACCGCAAGGTAATAAAGACCCTAGTGATCCATTGTGTACTGTATATAAAAAAAAAACTTTCCCTTCTACCACAACATTGTTGATTCTTGCAGCCAATTGTTAGATATTCAGGCAAATTGTACTTGTTTAAGCTGTTTGTTGTCTTTGTTGCTATGCCATCTAGGGCTGCACGATAAATCGCGATTAACACTAAATCTCGCGTAAATCGACCTGTCTAGTGTGCAATTATGATATCGCAAAGGCTGTGATTATGTTTTTATGCGCAGCATGTCCGTGAAGCACGGCTCTTTGATCAGTAGGAAGTGCTGCTCTGTCTGAAATCACTACAAGTTTGAGTCGCCTATAATGTGCATTTGTAAAAGCAACACTCGTCAAATATCATCATTATAAATATACTTTATTATCATGAAAATACCTGAGAAGGTTTGAAGAACAGTGATAGAAAGATGCCCATAGGCATTTCCTGGAACTACGCATGTTATGGTGGTACTTCTGCGGGGAATATTTGGAGTTTCTGCACGAGAGCGCCCTCTGGCTTTTAGATGCAGCAGCATTCAACCATACTTCACTGACAAGCTGCGCATAACAAATCGTGTGCGGTTTATTTTAAATTTATCGTGCAGCCCTAATGCCACCCTTTCTAGTCTGTCAGTTTCAGCACGAGTTAACATTTAAGATATCCTCTCAAATATAACCCATTATTCAAGTTTATTTAGTCTGTCTTCCTCATAATGATTTTAATTTTTGAAATGCGTTCTGTATTATTTCAGATATCAATATCCTCAGGTTCTTCTTCAACCTTGGTGTCAAGGTACACTGTTTTGAGAACTCTTCTTTGCATTTGTTGCTTTATTAAAGACTATTACTGTTTATGGAATTACATAGAAGTGTAATGTACTCCCAATTTCCTCAGGCATACTCTCAGCCGATGTTTCCTCCCATCGTTTATCTGGGTGCGCTAAACCAAGCCTATCAGATGCACCTTAGAGGGCCTCCTCCTTCCTCGGACTCTCCTGCTAACCCCACCGTGACTTCATGGCAACCAGAAAACCCTTCTCCTCCTCGGAATTTGAGCTCCATCCCTGACACCTCATTGGACAGCCATGCTCCTGTTGCACCTGTAGCATCTGGTAGCGGCCCTGTTGGTCCCATAGAGTTGGGAGCGTACAATGATCACCCTGTATCCATTCCGATGCCGCTGCCACCAAGGCCACCAATGGCCTGGCCAGCTTCCTCTGGTCTAAGTACCTATGCTGGATCGTACCCTCCAATGCAGTTTTCAGCACCACCCTATCCACCCCCTGGGAATCAGATGTATCCGCCGTCATCTGTTAGTTACCACCGTATGCCACTTCCAATGCCTCTTGAAGCCTTAAACCATGGCCCTCATGGCCGGATGGATTTCTTGCCGTTTGTTCCTCCAACAGTGGACAGAGGTCAAGGGAATGGCCAGAGGTCTGTGAACCCCCAGTTTGGGTCCTTGCAGAATACCGCTGGCTTTCCTGGAGGCCAACCTCATTTGAGTGGTGGTGATTACAAGCCTTTAGACATTCCCGTTTCAGTGGCCACGATGGAACCTCCACCCTTTAGTGGACATTGTCCTGTTGCACAACCTTTTCAGATTGGCCCACTGCAAGGAGACATGGCAGGATTGACCCATTTAACCAATGGGAACTTAGGAAAACAAGGGGGACTCTTCCCAAAGAGCCTTCATGCTGGTCTTATTGCAGAAGACCCTTCTCGCTCCATTCACCCTTATTCTCCTAATGATAAGTGGTCGGTGGAAGAGATGGAGTTTCACAATGTGGATCTCAGCACCACTCAGTCCTTTTACAGCCAGTCCTACAGGGGTGGAGGAAGACGTGGCCAAGATGACAGAGGAGGATATCGAGGCAGGAGCCATCGTGGCTGGAAAGATTATTCTGGCCGAGGCAGACAAGATGAACAGTCATTCTACAGAAATTATGTGAGACGAGGTGCAGGGCCAAGAGTAGAGATGCAGTTACCATATCTGTGATGCTGGATATACACCATTTTTTTTGGTTTACGATATCAGATACACAAAATTTGTTGTTTTGAGTTTCTGGGTGGCTTTTGGTAAATTATATTGATTAGTAATGTATACAATGCTTTTAACTGTTTTCTGGCATTTTCTCTCCCCACATTGATTAAAAGTAAAGCAACCGTTTCACCTGTTCCTATTTCACTAAACCCCTGTAAAAATGTAATTGTTTGCATAGGTAATAAAATCTTATAAATATTTTTGTTTTCTTGTTCCTACATGCACAGCAAAAGGGAAAAAATATTGGTTTTATATTGATTTTGAATGTATACAACTTATCAGATCTATGTGCACTTCCTGTAAACACTGAAATCTTTATTTACATCTTTTAACGTGGGTATTTTTTAGACTGGTTCTCAGAGGACTGTCCTAAAAGTCAGATTTTTCCTGAAAAGCTCGTAAACAATTCAGTTAAATTAATGGTGTAATCATATCACCGGACGCAGGAAAGTGCCTTTTTGTCAAGGTTTGCTTTTTCTTTTTTTGTTGTTGAAAATTTGGTTTTGATCGAGTTTCTGACTGCACCTTTATTGCGCACCATCATCCCCCCACAGGGTTCTGGGGTATCTGCTGAATGAATGTTGATGCCAAATGCCTGTAATAAAATACATTTCTGATCCAAAGATGTGGTTTTAACACCAAACAAATAAAAGATTTAAGAATATCTTTCGCAGTTGTTGTTTTTCCATTTTTACATGAAATAAAAAGCCTAAGACTATCTTGTCTTTTCATTTTACAGTTGCAGTTCCCTTTAATTAATATATTTAGGCAATAGACATGCAAGTACAACTCCCATTTGCTTGACTGGACTACATGTTCCTCAGAGCCTTTTGTTTTTATTTGTGTCAAATATGCTCTCTTATCAGAGGAAATAAAGTACATACAGAAAGATGTAGTTTGGACAACAAACAAGAGCTAAAGAACATCAAGTTAATTTTAACTGCAATTCCCTTCATGTAAGGGAAGTATATACTGAAATATGTAGTTGCGACACCAAATACAAGCCAACCTTCCTCAGTTGCAGTCTTTCTATTTAAAGTCAGTTTATTCCAAAACAATCTCTGCACTGCACAGACTTGTCACCCAATATCATTGACACAACAGGTTTTGTGTAGCTGGTAGTGCGTTTTAATATCGAACGGTTACAGTTGCATCTTCACAAGACTGCCGAAGGCAAAAGCCTAATCTTGAGAAATCCGGTTATTTAGTATGTAACACATCGTGTAACATGATTCAAATATTTTATTCAAAACATACAGTTGCATGTTTGGCATGTGTAAATTGGTTCGCACCACTTTGTGACCAGAACGAACTTCAGTTGTTAATAACGATAATTCACCCAAAAACATACATTTGTCAAGGTTTTATTCTCAAATAATGTCCTCTCCTCATCTCAGAGGATCCATCTCGTCTCTTTGTGGAATCATACCAATGGCCAAGAGGAGAGGAACAGAGCTGTATGTTTGAAGTGGTGATGGTGATAATTCAGTAAACATATAAGTCCACAATGCCAGCGTTCGCTGGTCTGATGTCATATTAAGCGGCTAAATTTATGGAATTCTGTGAAATAGGACCTTCAGTCATCCAGGAAGAAGTAGTTTCCACTCTTCTTTTGTTCCACATCCTTAAAGACGAAAGCAGAAAACAGGTTTTTAATTAACAGGTACAAAGCTAATGGCCACATACTGACACTATATCAAGACCATCAAATAAGCCAACAATTTCGACAGCATTTATGGAGGTTCAGAAGTATGAAACCCCTATTAGGAGGCCCAAAAATGCTGTCTAGCCAAGAGGCTCACTAGGCTTTGAGATGGTCGCAATTAGGGCTGCACGATAAATCGCATGCGATATTTAACGCGCATCTTGTCAGATTAACGACACTAATTTTATATCATTGTAACTTTGCTTTCCATACACCAAGTACTTCTTCATATACCACAGCAATAACTATAGTCTGAGAAAGTTCAAACATGATTAAAGGCAAGTGAACAAACAGTAAAAAAAAAATAAAAATACACCATTTACAAGCATAGATAATATAAACCGTAGTATTCAGGTACAGAAATGTAATAATTAAGTGTAAAATAACACTGCATTGTGTTCACTATATGAATTACATTTAGATTAATCTTTGTTATAGCTGTTTTGTTGTTTGATTAACATTAGTGACATATT